AGAGAGAGATATGCTGCAGCGCTCATTTTGACCATAGCCAACCGATCCGAGTGAGTCCGTTTCTGGTGCTGATTAGTACCGTTTTTAAGTAACCTTGATCTTCATATCGCGGTCTTATAACCTTCCTGATCATATTCGGTCCCGGTTCGGCAAAGTTCCACCGTTATCCACCGGTTTGAGTGCGCTGCTCTCGCGAGCTCCGCTCGGCTCTCGCTCAGCTCGCCCCCACCCCTTCGAGCGAGTTGGAGCTGCGGCCGACCGTCAAACTTGACACCACCCTCGATGGTATCCAGCCACCACTTTGTGACAAAGTTATATGATTTATTTTACGCTGATATTGCCAATTTCCGTAATGGAGTTGGTCGGCGCTTCTGTATCGGCAGCGAGCGCTCTGCGGAAATCACAGATAGTCTACCCTAACTTGTCAACTGTCCCACTCTAGAACGGATGTCATGCTATTCGATATTGATAGTTAGGTCTGATGACAGAGTACGCCCTTCAGTGAAATGTGCGATCCTCAAGATAATATGGCTACTAAAAGAACTTCTAAACGTTCTAGAAAGCGTCGTTCAACAAGCTGTCTGCCACGTTTATGCGAATCATGCATCTCAGCTGAACATGCACTACCGCGCTGTGTTTCATGGGTGTAATCACCATGAGCTTTTCTGAAAGCAGTGGCCAGTGTGGAAAATCCAGCACAAAGCGTAATCAACGACAGGTTCAACTGCTGTAGAGTCGGAGAAGGTAGAATATGGAAATTTATTCCACAGGACGATGGATTGCGCGAATAAGACAACATTTCCCTGGCCTCAAACAGATATTTCACTAATAGATCGTGTCACACGCCTCGGGCAGTATGGACAGACTGCGACTAAGCCTTCGCGCGGTACTTACGCACCATGCGGCCATGAGGCTTCGGAACTGCAGCATACAGCGTGGCTTCCAGCTTCCAGGCAGCATTTGCCGTGTGCGGTGATCAGACCTCCGGGTGATGTTTATATGGTATGACGATCAGATCTCGGGGCGGCGGCAATGAGCGCGCAGTTTGGGCGTCACGGGTGAGGGAGGCGAGAGACAGAGACAGAGAGGGAAGCGAAGGCCAGGGAGTGAGAACAAGGCAGGAGGGATGTGGCGCAGCATCCCTGATTCGTTCTCTTAAATGACGGGAATCAAAGGAAAAGAGAAGCCTAACTGCCTCGACAACCTTTCTGAGGCAAATTGTGCCCGCTTTTCAAGTGATCTTTACAACAGAGCTTGACGCACTACCGATACATATTGGTTATCATTCAATTTCCGAATGCGTACAGCTGCACTCGTCATTTCATTGGCAAGCTAGGTTGAAAGAACGAAGTGGAAAGTGAACTGAAGATTTTGGGCGTGGCCATAACGTTATGACGTTATCACATTGAAGATGTTAATGGTCTGCGGATCGATCATACCAACAAAAATGCCAACAGAAAATCATTAGGCTTACTGTGATTTACGCTGTCGGAGCAATTGTTTTGCGCGATGAACCCCAGCAAGGTGAGTTAAATGCTCTCGCAAGTCGTAGCGGCATCATGCTAGTTTGATCAGCCGCCAGTGGAGGCCATCTCTGATCGGTCAGACCGGATTAACGGATTAAACATGGGGGGTCTATACGCAGGGACGCGGAAACTATGGGATCACTGCATAATTGGCGTTGACTGGAATGACACAGCAAAAGATGCTATCTTCCCCCTCCCAAATTTAGAGGTCTTCTTACATTACCCCTGCCTATTCGTTTATTAACTTCGAAAGTAAGCATGCGTGCTGACACACTTAGAAGAGTCGAGATGATGCCTCTTGAAAACAAACCGAATTGCATTCCGCAAATAACACATCAGTGTGTTGGTCCGCAATATGCTAAATCACGTCATATGGGTTAACCTTTGCGCGCCTGGACACCGCCCAGTTATCCCAAAAACTAAATATGATACGAGGAAATAACCGCACTGGATAACGCTTGCCAAACTGCGATTACCGTTACGGTGTGTTAAAAAACAGCCAATAACTACAATGCATTGCTCGAGAAAGCATTCCTACGTCTTAGGTAAGTTGTTGGGTTCTTTCGTCCAAAACATACCGTCATAACGTGGAGATAAAAGTCGAGATTCAAGCTGTCACGGAAAATATATTTGCATGGTTTTACAAAATGAGTAAAAACCGTTGTAAGCTAGTTGGCGGTAATTGCAGCAACGCTACCTTCGGTAGTTCAAAAGTTGTTTGCAAGAAAAGCCCACGGACCTTGAAAGCGAGCACAAGCGTGCCAAATGCCGCCGCGCTGACTTAGTTGGTTAGAGTGCCTGTCTTCCGATCACCCACCCGTGGCGTGGTAGTTTCGAGTCGCTTTAAGCGCTCGCTGTTTGGCCTTCACAGGTATGTCCTGCGGCCGGTGGCACCGGCCGGGTGAAAGGTCAGGTGAGATAAAGGGATGGGACAGACCGCGCTATGCCTTGCGACACGTCAGACTTTGGCCAGCACATTCTGTCACTGATGTGGAATTGCGCTACCGTATGGTATGTGCCAGGGCTGACACAATAAGCACTGCTTAACGTGAGCTCTCATCCCAGATATTCATCCCTTCAAAAGGTTCGGATAATATTTCCATTTTGTACAGAATACCCTTCGGCAACCGCAAGGTCCCCGTCACACGTATATTGTTCATGTTCGTAAAAATCTTGATCTCCTCTCAATGGGTATCGACGTTCCATCCGCCCCAATATTGCACATTTGTATTCTGCCAGATCATAGAACGTTCGAGCGACGACAGCGGTAGGTCCGACAGAAAGACGGGGTTTACATGGTACAGTCAGGTTGAGCCAAGTATTCGGTGCACGCCAAGGCTGCCCCTTCTCCGCACACAACTGCGCACCACAGCTTGCAAAGCACCCACTCCATCCGTCGCGCTTTCGCACAAAGTTCGGCGGGAAAAACAGGAGCCTCACCGTCTCGCATGCAGCCGGAGCTACACCGACTGCATCTCAAACAAAAATTTGCATAGGGAGATCGTCGATAACGATACGATGGGATCAGGTCGACTCCAAATAAACCTATCAATCACAACGGCACGCCAGGCTTTACCAGCGAACCCAAGCCAGCCCCCGCCGTGGCCCCGCGGGCGCCGTCAGTACTTGCAGACCCGCACCAGCTCCTGCGGGCGCCAGCCAGCACCAGCGAACCCGCACCAGCTCCTGCGGGCGCCAGCCAGCACCAGCGAACCCAAACCAGCCCCCGCCGTGGCCCCGCGGATGCCGTCAGTACTAGCGAACCCGCACCAGCTCCTGCGGGAGCCATCCAGCACCAGCGAACCCAAGCCAGCCCCCGCAGCGGCGCCCGCGGACGCCGTCAGTACTAGCGAACCCGCACCAGCTCCTGCGGGCGCCAGCCGGTACCAACGAACCCAAGTCAGCTCCTGCGCGCGACAGGCGGCACCAGTAAACCCCAGCCAGCCCCTGTGCGGGCGGCGGCTTAGCTGCGCCAGCCGTGGCCTGCCTGCGCTCGTGATGACGGCGCCTCTCAGCGCCAGCGAGCCGGTGCAGCCAGCAGCGCGGCTCCAGGGCCACCTGTCAACGCCAGCGAGCCGGCGCGGCCAGCAGCAGCGCGGCTCCGAGACCACCCGTCAGTGCCAGCGAGCCGTCGCGGCCAGCAGCGCGGCTCCGAGACCACCCGTCAGCGCCAGCGAGTGAGGACGACCAGCAGGGCAGTGGTCAGGTCCGCCGGCCGCCGGGAGGCCGCCGAGCTGGGCGTCGGCGCCGTGATGGGCGCCTCCGTGTGGCGCGCACCCGTCTGGCGGCCGTGGCCGGCCGGCGCCGGCGGCCGCTGCATGTGATGCAGCCGGATCGAAGCCTCTGACGTGCCCATCGAGTTGGACGCGAAGCACCGGTAGACACCGATGTCTGCGCGGCTGACGCGCATGATCCGCAGGCGCATGATGACGCGGTAGCCTCGCTTCTGCTCTGACAGACTGTACTTCTGCCTGTGGGCAGCGGGGAAGGGAGATGTCGGCGGCCACCAGCTGCAGCTGCCCGAGGAGACCAGTGGGGAGGCCGGGGAAGGGAGATGTCGGCGGCCACCAGCTGCAGCTGCCCGAGGAGACCAGTGGGGAGGCCAATGGGGAGGCCAGTGGGGAGGCCGGGGAAGGCCGAGGAAGGGCCCGAGGACGGAGGGCCCAGAATCAACTCTTTGTTTACCGGCTTGTCCTGTATGATAACTTCCTGAAAACATGCAGCATGTGCATTGCTAATCGACGAAAACATCACTCAATCGGAACAAATATAAAAGCTGAACAGGTAGAACCAATGCGGCGGTTTCCATAAAAACTGCACCATCATTTAGCACACAATGTACTGGTCTGTACCTACAAAAACTGACATCACCTGGGGCCGCGAAACACACAAGTTTTCATTGATAGTAGCCCTTTCGGAAAGTTTCCGGGCCATGCCCACATCGGTATTTTCATGACATGCCCGACAGGAGTAAGAACGGCACCAGATCTTTTCCATTCTGACCATTTTAGCCTGTCCCGTGCTGGGGGTAAGGCAATCCTCTCATTTCATGTTTTTGATCGTCACTTCCAGAAGTTGTTTCACATCTCCCTAAACTTCGACGTGTTTTCCTCAGCAGGCGTTTGTACGTGCCAAAATTTTGAAGCAATACATTGCTCAGAGGCGGCACCAATGCTTTATTTCGGAAGTAAACTGCTGAAATCAGTCGTCTTCCCGTATATACCCATGTTCAAGTAGCCGCAGTCATTCTTTGGCCATTCAGAGATCACTGGTTGTTTATTATTTCCCATTATGAACATGATGCAGTATGGCATATGCCATGTACCTATGTGTACAAGTATGTACCAGTATGTGTGTACTTAAAATTCCGGCAGGCGAGATAAAACCAGGATTACATGATAACATGAAAACCGGATGCAAAGCAAAAAGAGGGGACGGTGTGAACAGTAGACACCGTCGCTTTTAGGTTAGATTGGGGATAGATTAGTTAGCTGGATTATAGTTATAGGCTAGACAAGATTAGGTGGAATTCTATTCTCTCACAAGTTGTCTTCGATGTGCATCAGAGGCGAGCTCAGGTGTGACAAATGGTTGGATGAAGGCAGGTATTGGGTCGAATAACTACCTCTTTAATTGCTGAGTACGGTCTGATTGGTGTTTTCCAGTAAAGTGGGCATATGTTATGCCCCCCACCCCCCCGTCACCGTGTGTCTGCCCTGATTCCCACCGTCTGTGCCCGTTGTCCACCGTCTGTGCCCGCCGTTGCCAGCAGTGTTTCGGTATCGTTGATGGTTGACGCTAACGGCAGGTCTGGACGCGTCAGGCGCCGGGCCCTTCACGTCCCGTGTGTACTGATTCTCCAGCGGTGATCCCTCCCAGCGGGATCGGCAGCGCGCCCCAACCTGGGATCGCCCTCTGCGCAGCCGGCGGCCGGGAAACGCAAAGGGTGCCTGGAGTGATGAGGACGCACCGTGAATGATGGCCGCATAAGTGGATGAAGGTCCGCTGTGTGTGAATGGCCACTGATGATGTCAGCTGGGCTAAGATCATCAGACGGGAGACGATAGCCTCTGGGAGGTGCAGGAGCAGCCTCCCCCAGCTCGGCACGTGCGCGTCGAACGACAGGAGCCAGCCCCTAATGCATAACCGATTGTGGCCTGAAAGGCAGTACACCCAGCGCAAACCTATTCACTGCCGTCATGCTTAGAATACTCAGCACCCTCTCGTACTAAAGCAAATGAAATGCCATGGGTGGAGATACTTGTCCCTTTTAAAGGTGCCTTAGTGTTCACGTTAAAACGTCCCCGCGCTCTGTGTGAGGTCCACGTGGTTCATGATATGACCAAACATAATAAGAACAGGAAGAAAGTAGGCGTTAGGAGCTTTGTCAAGCGCACTCAAGCTTGATGCCATGGCACGTTTTTTCGTGCGACCCAAATGGAACGTTGCGAATGCTTGGCCCTCAACCGCAAAGGAGCCTCAGGAGCCCCCTGACGTTTTCCGGGAATAAAGTCGGGGTTAAAGCAAGTTGTTGAAATACCGTGTACCTGAGCTTACATTTTTTACACATTTGGTTACATTTTTAGCTTTTAAGCTTGATGGTTTACGATCGCTTACCTCTTCGCGAAGTCATGTCGGTAACATTGTGCTAAAAAATACATCTAACTTTTGTTTCTCGCAGGTTTTTCGAGCTGCTTCTCCACTACCTCACTCTTAAATGCGTTAATATTGTAGCTGTTTATTTTTCAAGTCAGAACATCCAGGGCCCAACCTATCTCAACCTTGGATATCACGTGGAACTTTGTGACAAAAATTCACTTTTTGAAGATGATGACATTTAGTCTGTACGTGCACATATCCTACAGATCTGAAAGGTCTATCTAACGCCCTTTCCCCACTGATGTGACTTTGTTCAGTACCTGATACAACACGGATTAATGGAACAAAAGTATTTACCCTTTTGAGCGTTGTCACTGGTCATTACGGCAGATGGCACAGTCACATTAGGCACATTACGGCACTGACAGCAGAGCCTGTGAGGTCACCCCGTTCACCAGGAATACACATGCCGGGCGTTAACCCATCTGTACGAACTGTGGTCAATAGACACGGGACGTAATTCAGTCACATCTGTCCTGTGCTGTGCGAGATGCCTAGCCCCTCAGGAGCTCCACACCTCGCTAGCCATGTGCGTGTGGGGAAGGGGGGGGGGGGCACATGCGTGTGGCCGTGAGGGGTGAATGAGTCTCGGGCCCACCGGAGCCCGTCTGAGCAGACAAGAGGTGTAAGCGCGCGACACCGGCTTACACACCTCCGGGTGAAGACGAGCCGGACGCTACGCGGGACGCTGACTGCTCTTACTGCCTGCATCTTCTGTGCAATGACGAACTTAGCTTATTCGCGTATTCCTGGGTTCGATTGCTGCTGATGCTATCGTCCGCAATTGATGCACTTATAGTGACCACCCGCGGTTGTTCGCACATTTTTGGGTTTCGGTTCAACAACTTCAAAAATGCGTATGAAACCGCCAGCTGATTTCGGCGCGGTAACAACTGCCATACGTGGCACTGCCAGCGGTGAAGTGACCTCAGACGACATAGGCGAACGGCACACAGTAGCCGTCAGCGTAGACATGAGCAGGCGGCTACGGCCTTCCCAGGCCGGTCCACGGCTCCCGCGTGTCATCACTGACGCCGCCCTCTTACCCTCCGAGAAGAATTTCATCTCTCTGGTTGAGCCAGTAGTTGACTGTGTTGGGAAAAGCTTCCACGTGACAGTCCAGGGTGACATCGCCACCCAGGATGATGCCGAGGAGTTGCTGCTGCACCTCGATCTCTGGCCGAACTGCCGCAAGGAGCGTCACATCAGCATAACATACCACCATCGCTAGCTCAGCATGCGAAACAATTCGAAGCACATATACATTACAAATTTCAACAACTTTAACATTACACGATCGCACATTTCCTTCACAGTATTATAATCTTAAATGCAGAAATCTTCTATAAATGGACGTGGAACGGAGACGGCCTGCGGTTCAAACCAACTATTATTTTTTTTCGTTATTTGTGGGGAAAATGGCTGATACTTTTGCGTCCTCTCTTCAGCTCGTCCCTACACTGGATCCCTCTCCAGCGCATCTCTCCACTGGATCCTCTCTCTAGCGCGTCTCTCCACTGGGTCCTCTCTTCAGCGCAACCCTCCAATGGGTCCTTTCTCCAGCGCGACCCTTCACTGGGTCCTCTCTCCAGTGCGTCCCCCCACTGGGTCTGGGGATCTCCTCTGAGAGAAAACACTGTTTCCCGCACTCACCAAGCCAGCGCTCTGCCTCCTGAAAGTACCAGCTGCCTCTGATATCTTTGTAACAAATATTTTCCGACAAAGGACGTGAGACAGTGTTCTAAAATCGCAAAGCGAGATGCCGCATGTTCTCTAAAGCGGATAGATCGGAAAAATAAGCTTTGTTTTCCCAACATCGTGCCATTGCCACCGTGATTCCTCTTAGATCTTCGATATGACCGGATCCCTATCAGTGATCCAGGCATTTGCATATGATACATTTGTCATGCCTAAATACGTTATACGACATAGCAATACGTTGATGGAATGTCTTGCCCGGGATCATGCAGATCATGCACGTAAGTGATGGCCGCTGCCCCAGGATTCTAACACAAAGGCTGACAAAGCACGAGTATGTACTAGTCCTGAAATGTTGAAACATGGCCCGGTCTAATTGATATGTTTATGTTTTTGCTAGGCACTGGCATGTCATGGTACGACAACACACCCCTGCAACGGCAGTTTATGATATCTACATGTATATATGTATATATATACATATATATATACATATATATACATGTATATATATATATATATATATATATATATATATATATATATATATATATATGTATACTACTGAACTGTATAGGTACACGTTGACATCATGCTTTTTTGTTAACAAAGCCCAGAATGCAACACAAATATACGCTGCTGTCAATGATCATGGAAATTGCAGGTGAATTATTTCACAAGGTATGAATATGTGGGGTGCATTAATCATTTCCTGGGATAGGCACAGAGACAACAAATTGTACAGGTGATCTACCACGAACGCCTCATCTTGATCCCAAGCCTTCACCCAGGATACTAGGAGAGGTTGACTGTTTCGGCAATCAAGTGTTGCCCTGGGACGGTGGGGCGGGCACAACCTGGCACCCATGCCGGCGTCCGGCCCGATCGTTCGTGACGCGCGGCACACTGGCAGCGTCCGGTCCGACCGTCCGCGGCGCACGGCACACTGACAACTCCCGTCCCACCGTCCACAGCTCGCAGCACCCTCACGGCTCCGGCCCCGCCGTCCACGGCGGGCGGCACCCTCACAGCTCCAGCCCCACCGTTCGCGGTGTGCGTCACCCTCACGGCTCCGGCCCCACCGTCCACGGCGAGCGTCACCCTCACGGCTCCGGCCCCACCGTCCACGGCGAACGGCACTCTCAAAGCTCCAGCCCCACCGTCCACGGCGAACGGCACTCTCACAGCTCCGGTCCCATCGCCGCGGCTCGCAGCACCCTCACAGCTCAGGCCCCACCGTCCGCGGCGAGCGGCACTCTCACAGCTCCGGCCCCACCGCCACGGCGAGCGGCACTCTCACAGCTCCGGTCCCATCGCCGCGGCTCGCAGCACCCCCACAGCTCCGGCCCCACCGTCCGCGGCGAGCGGCACCCTCACAGCTCCGGCCCCATCGCCACGGCGAGCGGCACCCTCACAGCTCCGGCTCCACCGTTCGCGGTGTGCGTCACCCTCACAGCTCCGGCCCCACCGTGCGCGGTGTGCGGCACCCTCACAGCTCCGGCTCCACCGTTCGCGGTGTGCGTCACCCTCACAGCTCCGGCCCCATCGCCACGGCGAGCGGCACACTCACAGCTCTGGCCCCACCGTTCGCGGTGTGCGTCACCCTCACAGCTCCGGCCCCACCGTTCGCGGTGTGCGTCACCCTCACAGCTCCGGCCCCACCGTTCGCGGTGTGCGTCACCCTCACAGCTCCGGCCCCCACCGTTCGCGGTGTGCGTCACCCTCACAGCTCCGGCCCCACCGTTCGCGGTGTGCGTCACCCTCACAGCTCCGGCCCCACCGTTCGCGGTGTGCGTCACCCTCACAGCTCCGGCCCCATCGCCACGGCGAGCGGCACCCTCACAGCTCTGGCCCCACCGTTCACAGCGAGCGGCACCCTCACAGCTCCAGCCCGACCGTTCGCGGCGCGCGGCACACTCACAGTTGACGTAGACGAAGATACGTTTGCTGATGGCTGGCGGGACGTCGTTCCTGGCGATGCACAGGTAGGCGCCCATCTGACGCCTCGTCGCCCGGGTCAAGTTCAGAGTGCTGCCCGTCACCTGTCGCACTGCCGCATGAAGAAGACTGGATCACCAGTATGGCAGGCGGCGCCGGGTGCCCTCACACCGACGCACGGCGGTCCGCTCTCTACGCCGCATGAAGCATCGCAAACACGGGTTTGCCGAGGGACGGCGACTAAGTGTCACTGTTACTATAGATCACATTAACGTTTGCCTTAGTTCGCGATGCACGTAAATGGTATCGTGCCAATTCATCAGCGCCGCCAAGTATGGGATATCATAGCAGTGAAACTAAAGCACAGGAGGATGAATTTAATGCACACTCTCTCGGCCGTGGTTGCACAGAAAAAAAACTTCTTGGATGCTCACTGAGAACGTCAGATGTTTCTAACTGAACCAAATATCTTTCTAACAGTGCTTCGTTACTCGCCTGCTCTCTCAGGCAAGCACATAAGCTCAATGAGAAAACGTTTCTAACAGAACACCGAAGCATATGTTGAGATCGATAACACGACCTCAACCTTTGCGAGGTCGTTCAGGGTGGCGTGACGGCTTATGTGTTGAGCCAAGCCCTGCACTCTCACTGGCGTCGCGGGCTCACTAAACACCACTCTGTGACCTCCCTGGCATTCCAGTCCTGGTTGTGTGCTGTCCGTATTGTTAGGAGTCAGACTGCGTCTGGCCGGCCACGTCGCCCTCGCCCTCGCCCTCTCCCTCATCCTTGCCTTCACCCCCCCCCCCCCCTCTCTCTCTCTCTCTCTCTCTCTCTCTCTCTCTCTCTCTCTCTCTCTCTCACCCTTCTGGCCGTTGCGGAAGTCGCCGAGCACGTAGATGGGCTGGCCGTCCTCGCGCCGCCAGGTGATAGTGGGTGGCGGGTAGCCGCGGGCCGTGCAGGTTAGCCGAGCCGAGTCGCCCTCAGCCAGACTGCGGTCACTGCTGGACTCGGAGCTGACGATGTCGGGCGGCACTGCCGGCACCGGCCCGGCCACGTCACCAGCCGCACCGCCTGCCCGACGCGGCAGCCACCCGCTCCCTGCCTGGCTGGCGTCAGCATTGCACTCCTCCGTGATAACCCAGTGCCAGTTTTAGTGTGCACACAGTATACCCCTTCAGCTTTCCATGTCAGACCATTACCCGACCGTCAACGCCGGCCATTTTGTCAGCAATTTGACAAACACCGTCACCATAGCACGCATCATCGCATTCGTGATCACAGTCACAAGAACAGCCATCAGTCACAATGTTATCATCTTAAATGAATATGACAAATCCTCGACAAATTTAGCATCAGTCATCACGATAGATTAATACACTGAACATATATTTAAACGTTTTTGAAATGTTTTCATGAAGGTTTAGTATATGCTAAACATTGACAAGAAAATGATTGTTTTTAAGTAGTGTCTTTGATATCACACATCCAAAGCCAGTATATCTGACTAAGAATCGGCTTATCAGCAGAAAAAAACCTGTATATATATATATATATATATATATCCCTCTCTCTTTTCATTCAAGCAATGCCTTCATTTCATTATTCTAGGCGATCACCAGGCCTGACAATCAGCAGTAGAGATCGGACGAAACCGTTGGATCCTAGCAATGTCATTATTGTATACATCTGTACTGTTTGGAGCAAGGCAGGCGTAGAGGTTCATGTAATTCAAGGATCATTTCTTGTGATCGTGTTCGGCTATGTAAGCGCCGTATGTAAAGAATGTCTGTGAACAGAGGCCAGGATACTGGAGTTTGTTTTGACGCATCTGCGTGAGACATGTCACCGAACGTTTTTATAAACGCTTTGAAAAGTTTAGGTCGAAAGAGATCTGGCATCATAAAAATATACACAAGGCATCACACCTGTCCATGAAAATATGATCTCGCCCGCAGGTAGCCAGCATAATTTCAACATAAATAGACGACTTAATATGGCCTGAATTCTCTGCAAGACATTTCCAGGCAAAATTGTTGGTAAAAGTTGCGTCGTTTAAGCAAAGAAATGCTGACGACATTTCGATTTTTTAAAGTCTCGCATCACAAATCTTCATGAAAGGGCCTACAATACGTTGACTGTATATTTACCGGGCAGTAGCCATCGTCATCGTTATTAGCCAAAACATCTGTGACAGTTACTGCCATATGGCGATAACATTTACAACCTTACATTTACAACCAGCAGAATATTAATTGAATTCGGTGGCACCTTTTTATACAATTACACCCTAGCCAGTTTGCTGCAAGCTATCGACTTCCCGTAAACACTACATCAAAATTTGTATATCCCAAATTCACCAACATAAACATTCTGCGGCTTTTGTGAACACGCGCCCGGGTGGCCGGCTGGATACCCTTCTCTCGGGTGGGGGTCAATTTGACTTCCCTGAGATCTCGAGAACTATGGGAGCTAGAAACACCAAATTCACAGGGTATGTTGACCTGTACGTGAACTCACTTAGTTCAAAGTTTGAGGTTCCTCGGCCATGACCTTTGGGTCAAATAAGGTTAAACAAGGTCAAATTCCAGGTTGGCCGCAAAAGTGACCCTAGAATCTAGATAACTGTTTCTAAGAAAAGGTCACATGCTCCTCTAAGGTCAATAGCCTTGCTTGACCTTTTGAAGGTCATGGTGACCAAAATCATACAAGACTGCTCTGATTTTTGCATTTTAGTTGGTGACAAAGTTTACCTTAGACAGTTTTTCCTAAAAACCAAATGTTGACCTGGGTCAGTTTAGGTTAATGACCTATTCTGATCTCTGAGAAGTCCATGGAAGATGAAAAGTGAGGTTCCTGCTATCGATAAATCCGAAATGAGCACCAGAAACTATCCCATACAGCAAGCCCTAGAGTAATTAAACAGGTTGACATTGACCTTGGTTTGACCTTCATACCTGACCTTAGGTCCATCCAATTTGCTCATTCAATTGTAGTATTGTCTAAGAAAACATTGCAGAGATGTATGGCTTCGTCTAACACTCCGCTGCTCCATCAGATTGAACGATTCCCTAGAAATTCCCTTCGCTGAAACCATGGCCTGACTTCGACCTGCCATAGGTCAGTGACCTTACATGGTACATCCAGTTTTTCACCAAACGATTCGCTATTTAGTTGTCTGCAGCTATGCAAAATTTGGGGCGGCTACGCCGTGCCGTTCGGAAACTATTCTGGAAAAATATTCGGGGTGTAAATTTGACCCCCCACCCGAGCGCGGGTTAAAGATCTAATGTGTTTTAACCTTTCTTCTAATGTTTTGTGTTTCTTCTAACATTGCGTGCTCTAGCAATAGCCGTTTTCAGGGAGAACTCGAATTCTGTAACTTTGTACTATTGCAATGCTGCGGGAGACGGATATCACTGAGTCAACTGTGTATCGCTCGAATATGGGCCCACGTAATATGCTCTGAGTTGGGAAAGGTACGAGAGGAGCTTGGTATGAGCACAAACTGATATTTTTTACTTGCAAAAACAACCTTATGGGTTACAGAGCCGCTACGCCAGCTCCAGGTGAACTGATTCTCTGTCGAATGCTCCATTGTTGCGCATCGCTGGAAAATAGGCTGGCTTCTTGGCTACTTGTCAGACTTCAGACATACTTTAGAGGTGGCAAGCCTTACATGAAGTATAGTGCATGCAAGGCTGTGTTGTCAAGTAGAACAATTCTTTGTTGTTCTGTTTTCAAATATTTTCGATTTTGCAAGTCGGTACGTTGTATGCGAGATGATAGTTGTTGAGAAGTCGCCAGACACAATATTCTTAAGAAGATTAAGTTCGTTTCAAACTGATATAAACAACGGAGAAGAATTTAAAACTAAAAATACCTATTAAAAGGACAAAATTTATGTAAATATAGCATTAGCACCTTCGTTTTTCCCCAGCTACCAGTGATCAAGAAACCATTCTAATCCTTAGCCCAACGTTAGGGAAATGACGGCTGCAATCTCAGGCGATATTGCAATATCAGACATTTTAGCTTGGCCAAAAAGCCGATGCGCTGGGCTTTGTGTTACCTGGATGCAAGTTTATTTGCGCGCTTGCACGCTTACACGATCATATTTCCGTCGGGTGAGGTCGACGACTTTTAAGCGCTAAAAAGTCAGTGCCACCAGGCCCAGTGCACCAAAGCAAATAGCACACCCGCGTCGGCGCGCGCCATTAGTAACCTATGTTGGCAAAAGAGAAAACATTTCCAAAGCCGTTGCAACAGCTTCCATTGAGCGAGCGGGCGTGGTCCACTCAATGAGCTCCGCTTGCCGACCCGGTCGGTGGCGAGCATCGTTTGCTTACCGGCCGGCCTATTTGCCATGTCTGCGCGGCCCTCGTGTGCCCAATGGTCACAACAATGCAACCACACCGCCACCGCAAACAGTCGAAAGCGGTGCGCGTGGGGTGAGCCTAAATCGCCGCTAGCGGCTGGCCCTGCCGGCCCAAGCTCGCGGCTACGAGCCCAACTAGAGCCTTGGTAAGGGGGGGGGGGAGGAGGGGGCACTTCATTCACAAAGTGTCTCCTAATGGTGAAAGCCCGCTCCACGATTTCAAGGAGGGCATGATTTTGTTCGTTTATTCTTATTTTTACCTTTTTTTGTTGGAGCAGAACCCAGAAACTACTGAAAGACCAAATTATATTTGTATTCTGAAGGCAATAAACCGAAGGAAGCGGAATTTCAACGTCTGCAGGGAATAATTCGGAGACATTCTTCATTTTACAATGGTTTGGTGATTTTTTCCTGAAACGATAGAACTCAGGAGGCTTTGTCCCATTTCGTTCTGAGTTCTAGAAACATATCAAGGTTCCCCGGTAACGTAGATTGAAGACCGAAATCAGGCAAAACAAAATTGAACTTAACATGGCCAACCCATGTTCGCAAGGAAATTTTCAGCGTTTCGCCGTATTCGATTGCTGAGAAAACTGATGCACATGGTTTTGAAAGTGCGTGCTCGCAAGTCATAAAAAAACAAAAACGTAGCGTTGCGGTGTCCTTGGGCCGCGCATCGTCGGCCAAGTGGTTGATGCTAAGTGGCGGACAACGGGTAAACGAAAATGACGATGCATCAAAAAAGCCGATTTCAGATCGACAATAGGAACAGATTAGCATTTACAGTATGGCGCACTTGCGCTGGAATCTGGTGGTGAAACTGGAAAAGTGAAGGTATTATCTCTACTTTTCGATTCCTGGAAATTAGTGCCACGACAAAAACGCCTACCGACAGTGATGCTACGACATTACGTCTAATGCCAAGACTTATGCACGACATGAATGCTACGCGACAAAACTTGTACTGCAAATATTATGCTCGTCATTACTTCTACAGCAAACGCTAATGCAGTCATCACCTAAACACAACATTATTTCTACCGCAACAACATTTACGCGACATTCCGTGGTACACGACAACAAATTTGGCTTAAAAAACCTATGCTTTGTATCACCTACCAAAAAATATGTTATAACCGTTGTTTATATACGACATTACTTTTACTGCAAAGACATATACGCGATATTAGTGCTGCAGCATTGACTTGTAGTCAAACCTTTTGCTCCGTCTTTATACGGTTCCACGACCGAAATGCTAAAAAAGATAGAATTTTTTCTTCTTCTATTTTTTATACGGTTCCAGAACATCAGTGTTACAACAAAAGCTCGTACCAGGAGTGCTACGAAATTATTTCTACTGCAAAAACTCATTTGCAACATTAGTTCCACAGCAAAGGCTTGTGGTCAAGTCTTTGCTCTATTTGTATGCGGTTCATACTAGTCATGAACAGTTGTATAGGCTATTAATGAGCATAACTTTGTCGCGTATAATTTTTTGTGGCAGAATAAATGTCGTGTATAAGTATTGTCATGTATAGGCAATGACTGTATTAGTGTTTACTGTAGAAGTCATTTCATTCTTTGCTGTAGAAGTAATGACTGGTATATGTTTTTGCGGCGTGAGTTTTGCCGTGTAGTACTCCTGTCGTGTATGAGC